AAATTTTCTGTTTTTCTGTTATTTATACCTCTTCTTGAATTGAATAAGTCATTGTTCAATATTTATTTCAACTAAGTAGGTAACTTAACAATTTGAAATGAAAGATAAAGTTTTTCTATGACACACGATGACACTGACTGAGGCTAAATGTTCTTGCTGGTATTCATGACTATTATTTTTTGCCATCCATTCCATTATTATTAGTATTAAGCTAGTCGAATTTTATTATAACTCAAATAGCTTCTCAACGATTGGAGATAGGTATAAACTTTATCAAACAAAAGTTACAATAAACTTCATGGAAAATCTAAAAATTAAAATAATATGGGGGTTTCCATTTAAAAATCTAAAGTGTAACGCAATATCTTATTTGCGGATCACCCTGCATTTATACGGCTATAGATGAAAAGACGTCCCCCTAGAGATCAAAATTGACATGTCTGAGAGTTTTTCCCAAAATATACCAGGAGAGTCACAAATGGGGTGCAACCTTTTCGTTGGCCCACCCTGTATATTGTCATTAAACCCATTGACTTAAATACGTCTACACCTGTTTCACTAAATTCCATATGTCTTATTGCTCTTTTTTTGAATAACAAATAATTTTTGCAATTCTGTTCTGCCTCCAAACAGTATTATTCCATAGCGCAAAATCGATTAAAAATTTGCAAAATATACAATTTTTAAACATTCTGAATTTTGCATTATGCAACCATTTTCACCCTGTAAGACAACTGAACTTTCAACTCTGCTTCGACCGAAGGTTATGGTAAAAGATCTACATCGGCTTTGGCCTGTTGGACGCTACAGACAAACATGCCCATGTCACAACCCAAACTGGATTGTCGTATAAACACGGCTGTACAAATGATGCAAAATGTTTCCCTCGTCCATCCAGCAAAAATACGCGCGTATCAACAGGTTGCCGATCGCGAGCGGTGCTAATCATTCGAAACTGGCGAAAGCAAAAAAAAGTCCGTCCCGTGTTGATTTTTTGCGTGCCACTACTGGCACACGGATTGCATAATTCCATTGTCGAAAAAATTTGGAGCGCAATTTGTTTTCGTGTGGGATAGGTTAGTCAACCTCACGTTATCGCTTGTTTTTATTTACACAAAATTCGCGGCTTTTATAGCCTGATAACCAATTATTCGACGTTATGTGCGGGCTTATGTTTGTAATTTGCCAGATAAAGCATTCTATCCATAGTGACTTTTTAATCGCTTTTTTGGCTGACACACCAGATTGATTTTGTGCTCGATTGGTTGGTTTGATTTTTTTGTAGTGGATGAAAAATGTGTTATCTCGTACACCTATGTATAGATGTGTGATGTATACGTACTTTATTTGTTTCATGACGTGTCGCAGATATTGTTATATTTTTGTATGTGATTTTTGGATGGACGCATCCGTCAACACGAATATATTTCCCCTTTTCATAGTTTCTATGTAACTGCGTATTTAGTTTGTATTCCAAAACATTTTTGAGGATAGATCATCTGCCAATAGAAATAGACAAACGATAAAATCACAGGGTGTCCCAATATAGAATAATAATCCTGAAGCTGGAAATAGGTTACATCATGACCTACTTAGCAAAATTTGGTTTAGTCAAATGTTTCATGGTTTTCGAGATATACAGCACTCGTTTAGTTTAATTGTTGCGATTGGTTATTTAATGCCAGTCTTGCAATTGTAGTCTTGTCCAGCATTGTGCTTTAATTTAAGTTCGTCAAGCTTCTCGAATATCAAAAAACTGTTTTTATGTCGCAGATAAGGAGTAATGACAGATTTAACTTTATGATAGTAATTATTTATGCACCAGTACTATAGAAACCACTTCTATTTGATATACAATATTTTTTAGTCAGTCCCAATAAAAAACTCTAATGGATTCTGATCCGGCGATCTTGGTGAATATACGGTATGAGGTATTGGCAATATTGAAGTGGTGACAGTTGCAGACCGAATTGATGTCGACGAGGAGATTTTGAATGAAGTGAACGCTGATCCCTCCACTTCAGATAGGAATCTAGCTAGTATTATAGGCATACCTAAAAGCACTATCCATTTCACCTTGAAACAATACCAGGTCCATCCTTTCCACCTGCGCATGCAATGCTTGCGGTCATCTGACCGACAATGTTAAGAATTATGGATGTCGATTCTACATTTTTCGACAAAACTATGTGGAGTGACTATCTTCGTGCAAGAAAATACGGTACTCGAATACGCCCAATTTTCATAGTTGACAAGTGGATGCAATACGTTAAGATCGTTCCCAGATACAGCTTATGGTTAACTTGTGGACTGATATACTAAATGAGAAGGTGATTGGTCTCCACGAATTACCAGTAGCTTTAACGGGGGAAATCTACCTGGACTTACAAAGAAATCGACTGCCTTGTATGTTGTCTTTTAAGTTTTTCATATGGAAATAAAACAACACGGTAGGTAGTTTTAAATGATTTTATTGTTTTTCGAAGTATTTTCCACGAAGATTAATACACATCTGCATGCGCTCGAACCAATTTTCGAAGCACTTATTCCACTCGTTTACTGGCAGATCCAAAACGGCATTTTTGAATGCGTCAACTGCTTCTTCTGGTGACTGGAACCTTTGACCACGCAGTCTGTTTTTAATTTTCGGGAAAGTAAAGAAATCGTTGGAACTGAATGTGTGCGAGCTTGCATTGTCTTGGTGGAGGATGATTCTTCTTTCGGGGTTGATTTTTCGAAGCTCGGTGATGACTTTTGGCAAACAAATGGTGGTATACCAATCCGCAGTAATAGCTCTTTGCTCATTAAGAGGAATTGTTGCAATATAACCCGCTTTTGACACAAATGTCGCAACCATCTTTTTCGAAATACTTCGAGAACGCATGACCATTTTGTTGGCTTTTCTTCACTGTGGAACACCCAAACAGCCGACTGCCGTTTATTTTCTGGTTCATAACAGTAAATCCACGATTCATCACCACTAACAGTGCTGTACACGTTTTTTGAGTTTCCGGAATTAAAACGGTCAAGCGTTTTTTGACACCAATTAACCCTGGCTGCTTTCTGCTCTTCAGTCAACAGGTGGGGTATCCAACAAGAAACTAATTTTCTTACTCCTAATTCTTCATGTAAAATTTTTTGAATTGAGGTCTTTGAGATCTTCAAGGACGCTTCAATCTCGCGAGATGTCACATGTCTATCTTCAATGATGAGTTTGCGCACAGCATCGACGTTTTCCTGGGTGATTGCCGTTTTTGGTGCACCCACTCTGGGATCGTCGCTAAGACTCACCCGTAAACGTTTGAATTCTCCATACCAACGGGTAATTTTCGATTGATGTATCGCTTCGTTGCCGAAAACAGACAGTAACTCAGCAAGGCATTCTTGTTGCGATAATTGTCTCTGAAAGTTGTAATAAATTATGGCGCGCAAATGTTCTCGGTTGAGTTCCATTTTTCTAATGACTTGGTGACACTTAAAAATTCACTGTAGTGTTGTGAAACTTTGAATTTAAGTTTACTAAAGAGTGAGGTTAAGATTCAGTACTGACGTTCGATCCGCGCGGCCTACTATGTTTCTATATGCAAAACTTAAAAGACATCCCTCGTACAATCGGACGGTTGTCCAGTCACGCTCAGCCTGTCCGCGATCACCTATATTAAAATTATCCAGGAAAGTGGACCAGTCGCCTTGGTCCTGTCGATTGGATCTTGGGACATAAATCGATTGGATTTTTTTATCGGAGTTGCCTTAAAGATATGATCTATCAAACAGAGGTAATTTACGTAGCACAGTTACGGGCGAAAATCATTTGGGCCTCTCAGAAGATCTCGCAGGGGGGGTATTTCCGCAAGCTAAAACGATCATTTATCAAAAAGGTCAGTGGTGACCACTTTGAGCACCTAGTCTAGAGAGTTTAAGAAAAACTTACCACTATAACATCAACCCTGCCCCTAATTCATTATTCGTATCGTAAAAACATTTTTTATATTCCAGAAATCAGACGATCCTCCATTAGAGTTGCTGTAAAAATAAAATTGCCAACAGAATGTTAGAAAGCAGTACAATTCTGAAAATCTCGTTAAACTTACTGGTTTTCAAAGTATTTGGCATGATGATCCTATTTCATTCTTTATTACTACAGGGTGTCGAAGTAAGACGTACAAATTATTTTTCATTAAAATGTTGCATAAGAATAATTTCCATGAGGATATCACTATAACATAAGAAAAAACACAATTTAAATACCAATAGATTTAAATAAAATATGACTAAACAAAATTGTGCCAATCAGACCGTGTTGTGACCAATTTCCAGTTGCAGTATTATTCTTCAATTTCCGGACATCATCTACATAATTTTTGATTTTCTCGTTTTACAAAGCTTAAGCTCAAATGACCCCTGAGGTCGTTACCTAGGTCACATCAGAGATCCCCAAATGACTCATTTTTTGATCTCCTGGCACTTCTGTAGGAAGTTTTCGGGGTGTTTATAGAATTATTGAATATGAATATGGATATATGGTATATTTTTATACTTTACTGCAGTAAGCTAGCCTGCTCTGTACTTCTGACGCGTTTGTGAAATAGCTGAGTATCATGGTTTATTTTCAAGGCCACTACCTGTCATCGTCGTCCTCTTTGAAACCCTAAATTTTTACATTTGAATTCATCATTTCAAAACCAACTCAAATCACATTTTTCCAACATGCATTCTTAAAGGTAAATGCGTATTCTTGGTGTAAACCACGTAAGTCAATACATTCCTTCCTCTTTAAAGAATACTATATTAAGCCCAAAAAGTGCTTTGAAACTCGTTTAATTATTGGTGATGGGGTGACTTACGGGGTTTTAGAAATGACTGAGTCGATTACACCTCAATTCAAATGAAGATTTCGATTGCTTCATGCTCAACGAATCATCCTGCATGTATTAAGATAAACAAAGCGATTTGGAACAGTGATAAAAATAAAAAATATCCATGTAGTTGCGATTTCAGAGCAAAGCCGCGTGTGTCAGCGGTGGCCGGGAGGCGAACGTACACGGAGGACGAGCTGCAGGCCGCCCTCAGGGACATCCAGTCAGGCAAGCTGGGCACCAGGAGGGCGGCCGTCATCTACGGCATACCCAGGTATGTACATATAATAAGGGTCAATCCTGTTTTCAGTGACAAGAAAAAAATTGAATTTCGGTTTCATTCCTATTATTTAGAAAAAACATCAAACATCATTTTTTAGCTTCACCGAGCTCATTTGTGATAAATCGTCATTACCTTATGACTAAAGGTCACAACCATAGCATCATTGGTCATGACTTCTATGGTTGTCACTCCGATATCTTCAAATCTATTTAGTCAATATTATCAGTAAATTTGCATAGTTTATGGCAAATTTTGCTCAATTAATACGTGCTACAAGGAAAAGCAAATATAAACAAATATCGTAACCTCAGCTAAGGCGTGCTATGATCTCCCAATCCAAGAAATGCACAAACTGGGTTCACAAACACACTGCGCCACAATCTTAGTTAACTGTTTGACGATATGACTAGTGTTACTAGGTCAAAACCAAAAGCTAGTGATGTCAAATGGTCATGACAGGAAAAACGATCACAGCATGTATTAATCGACAAAATAACTTTCAGCATTTTCAAGGTAAATACAGTCTTTATCAACATCCAAAAATCAATAAAATGTGAAATCATACCATGAATGAGATACCTTGACGCCATTTTTTCCCTATACCTGATGTAAATATTGACTGGGTCGGATTTGGTATAAGCACATGTGAAAAATTGTTCAGGGCATAGCATTTTTTTGTTACAGAATTTTTACAATTTGCGGGGGTGCTGGTGGCCCAAAGCATGAATTCAAATGTGAAAATTGAGATTTTCAAAAAAGTAGTGAGAAATAGTGAATGTATACATAAAAAGTGAGTTAATTTTCTGAGAGATTGAATGTCATAATGCCAAATTTAAACGGATAATATAAATAAGAATTTGCGAAAGAAACGAGAATAACTCATATAACGTATTTGTTACTATTTTGTTGACGTAAGCAAAGATAATTATTCATACGTATGCATATTTTAAGATCAAATGCATACGGCGCATAAAAGACATAAAAAATATAACAAATTCTTGCAAATGCAGGAGACATACTTATATCTATTAAGTATTCTTGTCAAATTGATTGAACCTACATTTTAGCTAACTACTGTTAAAAAGTTTGTATCGTCATTACAGATGAGTATTTTTTACACAATTGTTCACGAACTTAATCATTAGACCGTTAGACTAGAGTACATTAGGAAGGAAGCGAGGCTCTATTCGATGGATTCCCATAGACACTTCCTGGCTTCATCATCATCATCTATCATCATATATTGTCATATTAAATGTCCGCTATATTGGATCAGAATGACGTCTTTTTGCTTATTCTGTTTTTTTCTTCATCAATCCCTTTCATTTCATGTCTATAATATGGGGGTGACCATACTTGTACATTGGCTTGTAAAAAGCTGTTGATGCAATTTATATTAAAATTAAGCCAGTATAAAATGGAAAAGATCAAGGGTGAATTCGTATTTCCTGTCTCTCTAAAAATACTTTGAATTGAAAAACTATCTAAGTAACATTTTATTAGTTACCTAAATGCGGAACTTTGCCTTCATAAACGATTTTGTATTTTAGTTTCTTACCATTTCCTAATTTGAAATCCCTAGTGCATATATATAGACCTTTTAGCAGAGCTGAATTGAAATTCAACGCAGATTTCGACTAATCCTAGTAATTTTTCGTGTAACACATATTGGCTCAGCTTTGCGAGAACCCTGTACTTTATCATAGTAAATTTTTAGAAAAATAGATCACTTCGTATAATTCCGTGAAGCTTGAGAGAACGAGGACAGCTTCTTCATTCATAAAGTGCAATATGAACAGTGAGAGCCAAAATAGTAAGAAAAGTTATTGTTTTCAATGAAAAGTAAGTAAAAGTAAGATGGATCGAAAAAATTAAAAAGTGGAAAAAGTGAGCCGCCGGCATCCCTGAATTTGGAGAACCCTCTTGTAGAGAAATCTTGAGACTGTTGATCGTGGAAGGTTGACATCATGTTCAAGAATTAAAAATTCTTTAAATTAAAAATTGAACTAATGTTTATTACTTTTAAAAGATTTCCAATCAACAAAGCTGTGATAATAGAAATTCAATGACTAGGTATAGCAAAGTGACGATCAATAATAAATTTCTTTTACAACTTGTTTAAACTGCATGAAAATCGTATATATAGTATATCAAACAACGTTCTTTCAATATCGAACAAAATTACTATCTATCGCTCTTGAGAATATTGTTATATTACACCTCCCACGCCGAATGAGATAAAAAGTATTGTGATTAAGAAAATTTGAAAGCTATTAAGAAACCAAAAATCGGAAATAACATGAACTACAGTTTTGTTGGGGTATATAGAGAATATAGGATTATTAGATCTCATATTTCTCGTTATTACAGATCTACTTTAAGAAACAAAGTCTACAAGTTGGCACTAGAAAAAGAACGTGAGTCGCACCTGAACAGTTCAACACTGAAGCTCGATGAAGAAGAAGCCATGGACGATGACAAAGAGCTATCGGGTACTGAAGAGGAGAAGGAGGTGGAAAAGACACTGGAGGTATGTTCATATATCAAGGAAAAATACTGACCAAACATACAGGGTTTGTCCGGAAAGTAATAGGACTGAGTCGATTTAAAAAAAAATATTGAGCCAATCGTTACAATTCTTTAAAAACTTTCAAAATAGGCTCCTTCTGCGACGATGTAGCGCTGCCAGCGCGATTTCCAAGCATTCTCCGGAATAGCCTTGAGAGCCGCGGTGCATGCTCCTTGGATCCCCTCTGTCGTCTCAAAATGCTTGCCTTTCATCGGCCTTTTCAGGCGAGGAAACAAAAAAAAAAGTCCGGGGGGCACATCTGGGCTGTAGGGCGGCTGCGGAAGCGTTTGGATGCCGACCTTGGTCAGGTAGCTGTTCGCAAGAAAGGCGGTGGGAGCCGGAGCGTTGTCGTTGTGCAACTTCCAGTCGGCTGCGATATCTTGTCGGACCCGACTGACCCTTCGTTTGACTCTCCTGAGCACTTCCACGTAAAACTTGGCGTTGACGGTTTGTCCAGGAGGAACAAATTCATGGTGGACGATGCCTTTGATGTCAAAAAAGACAATGAGCATCGTTTTCACTTTGGATTTGCTCATTCTTCCCTTTTTTTGGGCGAGGAGACGCCGTCGTGTGCCACTCGGAAGATTGCCTCTTTGTCCCGGGATCATACTCAAAGATCCACGACTCGTCACCTGTGATTACATTATTCAAAAATTGGGGGTCACTTTCACACATGTTCAAATTTTCTTGGCACACTTCCACTCGCCGCAATTTCTGGTCGTCAGTGAGCACTTTTGGGACCATCTTCGCGCATACCTTGCGCATGTTCAAATTCTGTGTCACAATGTCATGAACCACAGATTTTGGTAAATTTAACATCTAGGCAATTAAACGAATACTTAGTCGACGGTCTGAGTTCAAAATTTTGCGCACACGAGTCACATTATCGGTGTTTGTCGAAGTCGAAGGTCTTCCAGCACGGTCTTCATCAGCGACCTCTTCCCGGCTCTCCAAAAAGGCCTGGTGCCACCGAAACACACCACTTCTTGCTAAAGCAACACCTGGGTAAGCCTGCTTGATCATATCAAACGTCTCTGTCGCAGATTTACCGAGTTTCACACAGAATTTAATCGCGTACCTCTGCTCTAACGAAAGCTGCATTTTCGGCTTGCACCACTCACAGAAACACGTCGCGCGAAAATGCCTGTCCTGACTCTCCAAGTGCTCGGAGATAACTGCCCAGCCGCTCATTCATTAGCTAGGAACGCCCTCTACCGAATCCAGTCGATGCGCGCACGCTCCGAAGTACAGTCATGGCGGAAGAAAATGAGTCCTATTACTTTCCGGACAAACACTGTAGCTAGCTCCACAAAAATGTATTAAAATGGAGATTATAAGGAGCCTGGATTTTGCAATCTGCCTTAAAATACAGTCTAGACTTCCAAGTCGAAAAGACATTCAGTTTGCGTAAACCAATCCGCACGGGTATTACGAATCTTGAAAAGTGACATTATGTCGAGTTTTCTTGACATTGTATTGATTTTTTGTGACATTATTTTTTTACAAAGATGTTAACTTAGCACTAGCTGATGAACACGTTGTGAACTCGTTTTGTAGTTTTACGTGTTGCCCTAACGTCATGAGGCTTCAGTTATCAATGTTTGACTCTTATGTGATGTAAAATCTACTTCAGAGATGGCATTACTAGAGGTAACGACAATGCATAGGTCCATAGTGAGGATTTGTGTCCTAATAATATGTGTGATGATAATTCCATTGGATTCTTGTCTCAAATACACTTACTTGAGATTCAAAGCTAGAAATTGGTTGCGCATCCACTTTTTCTTATCCATTCTGGAAATTATATATGCAAATTTGCTGAATTTCAAAAATGAGAGAGATCAGAAATAATTATATTCACTAAACACTATCGAATTATAAGTCATATACATGCTAACAGTAATTACAAAAACGCGAGCGTGTTGATGAAAAAAACGTAAAAAATCGTAATATATAACTTTGAACATAACCTGTCTTCAGAAAGGACAACATATTGTGACGATAACAAATACTACTGCTGGCGCCATCTGTTGGGAGACTCTCCTACTCGCCAGAGCTTCATGGCCGATCTCTGCTTTTACGCGGATCACGATCGCACAAGCCGCTTGGCGACATCTGTTGAGTGACCAGTGACTCGCCTTCTAGATCAACGCGAAGTGACCTCGAATATTCTAGATGCCGCTTTGTGGCTCGCCAGACCTCTCGAATCAGCGATAGAGACTATATAGTTCGACGGCCTTGAGATGGAAGCAGAGTACAGAGAACAGTAGAGCAGAGCAGAGTGGAGTCGAGTAGACCAGAGTGGAGTATAGTTCAGTCAATGGCGCGACATAAGAATTAGTCAGACATAAATAGTGATTTACATAAATGTTCTAACAAGTTAAATGAATTAGTACATTTATTTTTGTGGAATCCAGTGTTTTAATCCACACCCAAAAAAACCCAGAAAAACGCTACAATATACTTCATTGGCACCATATTCAGTAATGATTTTCTCACATAGCAAATATCACTGATTTTATACACATGCAGACCAATACACACAATCATTCAGATGCGATCTTGCTATTCAACCAACATTCTTCTCAGAGATGAAAACTATAGACTACTCGGCTGCACAAAACATTTGCAACCAACAATGCGTGCTGATGAGCTATTCCTCCTCAGATTGACGCTCACAACGATCCTAGTGGGCAAACGTTTTTACATGATACTCGTGTCGTATTATGTGAAATGATCGCTATGATAGCAGTTTGCTCGCCAAACTTGTGTGATGTTGAAAGAATGGCACAATAACCTATAGTATAGAGCTTAAATGACCTCCTCTATACCCTAGTGCCAAAAATAAAGAGAGCAGCAAAACACATTGCACCCTACATCAGGCGCGGCACCCCTTTAAATTGACAAAGTTGGAGCGTGAGCATCTCGCCGTATTCAGGCATGTCGCGATGGCCAGTGGCGTGCGATGTGTTTCGCTACTCTGTTCATTTTCCATACTCAAGTATAGTACCATCTCTGAAGCAGAAGTCATATCACATAAAAGCTACATCTTGACGTTTAGGCAACAGATACACACACACATACACACACACATACACACATATACACACACATACACACCTACTACAAGTGAATATGAAGGGAATGACAGCTAGTTCCAAAGTGACAATTATAGCAGTAGCCGTGAAATGAGCGCCCATTTAGGGGGCAAGGGAGGGAATATCCCTCTCCTGGCTTCTGCTTCAAAGTGAAATATTCTTAATAAGATACCCAATCCTTGGGTAAGAAGTGGCGTGTGAGTTTTTTTGCTCTTCTAAACATCCCAACATAGAAGATATTATTTCTGCTACCATTTTGAATAGTTGGCAACTGGCTTCCCCCTAGGGTATAAATGAGACTCATCGTGCAACGTAGCGTTAGATTGGCGGCCAGACAGTGGTGTTAAGAGGATGATGTGCACGATTCAGTTGTGTTTTGTATTTGATTGCTTCCAGAATAACAACCATACATTTACAGTATTTTACAATGAGTATTGTACAGCTTATTCGGCATCATAGGGGCAGTAACTGTCAAGACCAGCATAGTTTTACCTCGTGACGGTACTTTAATCAATGGTGTTAACGGATCAAATGCTATCTGAGTTGTGCGATCTGGAAAATTGGGGGAGAGGGAGTCAACTAGCAGAACAAATCTATGCATTAGGCAGCTAACATCAAGCCAGTGTTGTCATTTATACTGTCTCAGATGACCGACACGGGTATGATGTGAAAAACCTAAAAAACTTCAAAAAACCAACAGAATGTCATCTTGCAGACCCTATTTTACGAGTATTCATCACGGTAGAATGACAGCTTGTTATCTAGTACTATATCAACGTTTCCCAATATCGGCACATGACACATAATTCTGACGGATCCGTCAACGCCAGGTAGTCAGAGCCGTATTTTGTTTTGTTTTTTTTTTGTACGCTACAGATTCATTTTGTCCTTGCTAACAGCTCTTTCATTTAAAAAAGGTCATTTGTATACAAAAAACAAAACGCCACACTTAGGCAGCAGCGGTGGCCGCAGTGGTACACTCTTCGGTCTCCTGATCAGTCGCCGTGCGCTGTGTGGGTTCGAATCCCGTTCCGAGAATGTTTTTCTTCAAGATATGGATTATGTGATTATCCGTAGGTGGTAGTCAGTCTTTGACTGTCGAACGTGGAGGTACCACCCGGCGGTTCTCGTAGGCGGGGCCAGAATGTGTGCATGTTTCATGCACTCGTGTTTCCTCGCCATAGTCCGTGTGGCGACCCCCCTTTCTTCTGTATCCCCCTATAGCCCCACGGTACCCCATGGTTGTTTAGGTCTTAGGCCTTCGTGGTAGTTTGAGCATAAAAAAAAGTTTTACTAGATTTATAGCCAATTCCTTATTTCCAACGTTGCAGACTAACACAAAAATGTCACTTGATGGATACTCGTGAAATAGGGTGTAGGTAGTTTTTGGTGTGCAAATATTTCATTCCACGTTTGCTCCCTATGGTTGCTGTTCGCTGACTTTTAAGCAACACGTACAGCTACAAAACGAGTTCACAAGAAGTGTAAATCAGCTTGTGCTAAGGTAACATCTTGTAGAAAAAATACGTTATGTTAAAAAAATCTAGGAAATGTAAAAAAAAAAAACGACAAAATGTCACTTTTGATACGTAATACCCCTGCGGATGTGTATGCTGATGGTAACATACTTTATGACATTTGGAGGGTCATTTTATATTCAGTGATATACAGTGCTTTTCAGTCCCCCCACCTACTTATTTTTTGAGCGGGCAAGTTAGTAAGTTTCAAATCGGGAATGTTGAAATAAAAGTTCTATATTTCAAAATGAGATGTTTTAAATGAAATGGTGATTATGTGATATCTCATTTTTTAAAGATTCTTATCAATACTTTGTAACTCTGGAATAATTTACTATCTTCAAAATGGCAGCCTGGTGGGCTGTCAATGTTGAGCCTATTGTACATTGAATCGCTGATAACTCAATAACTAGTCATGGAAAGGCTATGATATATCAATCCCCTCTTTTGGAAGGGCTTGCCTGAATGTGCAATAAAATATGAGACATTCCGCTAAAAAAGACAGATTTTGACATTTTTGTATAAGTTCCATATTTTTTAACATGCTCGGATAGATCCTTCCAAGATAAGACATACTTTGAAAGCCTGCCTGCCCACCATCTGGATAGACACTCCCTTATGGTATTTAAAAATAGTTCCAATGTGGCGCCCAGCTACCATCTTGAAATTTCCAACTGCCACGCTAAAATTATCACTTTGATTTCAGCTTACCAACTTGACGGGTTCAGAAATTAAGTAGAGGGAGGATCTTTTTGAAAATAACTGTATAAAGAAGGATTTCATAACAAAAAGATAAACCGGGCCGCAAAAGATTAATTGATCAATATGAATTTTGCTCAGTCGATCTGGCAAAAATACCACTACTGAATTCTAAAAAATTATCCGAACTAGTTGGTCCTAATGAAACTAAAATGTATTTCCTCAGGGTCCTCTGCTGTCCGTGGCCGACCTGCTACGCATCTCCCAATCCGCCTCGACAGTGGTGCCACCTGGCATGGCGGCAGGCACTCCCGACGCATTGCGCCACCTGCTGGCCGTTGCCGCGGATCACCCAGACGTCGCCCCCTATCTGCTGCTGACGTCACAGCGGCTGTTAGCAGCCGCCGCTGCTGCTGGGGGCACTGCTCCCGGAGCTGATCTATCTGCCGCCGCTTCCGCTGGACTGCTCTTGCCAGACTTCGTACGAAGGATGGCTGCCGCCAGTCAGCAGCCGGAAGATGCCAGAACAGTGAGTATATGAGAAGTTCAGGGAGGAAAGATATTGTAATTCATTGAATTCATTGAAAAAAAAATTTCCTACACCCACTTTCACCTATCGCCAGATCTGTGTCATTGGCTAGAGGTCATTTAGTAGTAGTGTGTAGTTTGCGAACGACTACTTCAAACTAGTTTGTCATTCCTTGTAAAGCTCATTCTCTTGTTCACTACGAACGACTGGTATTACAGGATCCCGATATTCCAATCGAACTAGTTGTGAGTGAACGAACGAGAACGAGATAGGAGAAAGAAGGCGGAAAACAACCGAACATCTACATTATTATATTACATTTAAATTTGTAACATCCATCCTGACAAAAAAAAGAAATGCGAAATAGTTCCTAGAGAGCGACCTATTGAACTCGTTCACCGAAATGAACTAGAAAGCACATTACTAGCATTTAAGACTGCACAATCAGAAAAATGGACCGAAGTCAGTGGTGTGCCTAGTGGGTAAAGTTGTGAATTGAAAGGATTTCCCAAGCTATAATTTGATCTATGAACTTTGGCGCAGTAAAAGCAAAGAGCAGTATATTCTGGCCCAACCGAATATCAATTTCTCGTCGAAGCCCATGTTCGGTTATTACTACTACCTTCGGCCCAAGTTATTATAAATTCTGGGTTGCGTTACAGCAAACAAGTAGTTGAATAAAGAAAGTTTGTGCCACTGGCTGTGTTTCTTATAAGTGATAACTTCGATGTTAATGGAATATTGAATCAAATTTGTTGAAATTAGATGTAGTAGTGACAACTCATCCCCAACAGAAACTGTAAGAGATACGGAGTTAGTTAAATAAGAACAACATTTTGCGTAAATATAAACAATCAATCCGCAGATTTTTTAAGTTATCATTAGTTTTCTGTGCAATGCAAAATTAGGAAAAATAGGAATTCAAAAGCTGCATCACATTTACAGAACTACTTATAAACCACTTGATTCTTTGATTTATTTCCAAAATGAAACATTGCAAAAAGTCAATTTTCAATTCAAGACTAACTAAGAGGTGTTCAAAGACAAAAGAATAATAGCATACCAGTATCATATAATAAACTGGACTTTCCATATCCGTGTGTTGTCCTGTAGGATTGACATCTGACAAAATTATACAGTGGTGCTAAATGGTAGCCAAAAGATATTTCTGAATTCCGGATAGGTTTTAACAAACTAGAACGGGCTAAGATTATATATGATAATGCTCATTAATACCTTTTTTTAAATGTTTCAATTGTTCCTAAATTTACTGAACAATATTATTCGCATTTTACTCCCTGAGAATACGATAGCCTTTCTTGGTCGACGGCCGAAGGCGTGGCAAAATATCTATTTTTTGGACAAATGTGGCTGAAACAGAAACTAAAGAAAGAGTGGTTTTACCAAGAGAAGACAGTCAGTAAATAAAATTAAAGCGAGATATATACGTAAGCAAGAACTTAGCATCCTCAAAACAGCTGATGACATTCAAACAGGTGCTGTTCTTACTTGGTCAGAAATAAATGCGATGTTGCCAAGTAGATGATACTTTTTTGATCAATTCATTGTTTACTCGTGAATGGGATATTTATTTTTCATTTATAGGCTACTAAAAATATTTTTCATTCAATGTATTTTTTCCTTTCCGGGAGCCGTCCGACCAAAGTTTTTTAGTTTTTCTCATAATTATAAATATGTTGCAGGCACCCAAGGTCAATAAAGGCATTCCACGAGGTGTCTTGGTATAACGATGTTTTGTTATACCAAAAGAGGAAACTGCACGGAATTTTTGCCGATGGCACTGCATTACTAGTTGTCTAGTTTACCAAATTTTACAACAAAACAGATAAACCCACAGGGGTATGGCCAATGAGAGATCAAAAGTACATATTGGATATCTAGGCTATGACAGACGTGTTTGTGGAGATCTTCTATATTTATAATGAGCTGAGTGTAGTAAAACAGTTGTTACTGTTGCATATTCCTAATGTTGCCAGGTTCGAAAAATAAATATTTTTTATATACAGAGGTAAATAATATAATAATATTTTGTTTTTAATTTTTAAGGCTTTACTTTAAAAACAAACAAGAAAAACGTACATTGGAACATACACTTAAAAGAAAGCATAGATACAAACAGACAAAAGTAATAAAACACCAAATATATTTGAAAGCTTAAAAAACGTAACAATAAACATGAAATTAAATATAACTTACTTATAACTACATTAACCTAAACGAATTAAAAAAGAATTACTTTCTTTCGAGTTCATATTATTATGTAAAAAGATTCTTAAAATACTCTTAAAACAAACATCAAAAACGTAAATTTGAACAGACTCTTAAAAGAAACCACAAATACAAAACCATCAGACAAAAGTAACAAACACCAAATATATTTCAAAGCTTAAAAACGTAACAATAAAAATTAAATTAAATATAACTTATTTAAAACTACATTAAAATAAATAAATTTAAAAAGAATGACATTCTTACGAGTACATATTATTATGTTTTTTATAATGTCCCTTGAAATTGGAAAATTAAAGCAGCTTTTATCTTCGGCATTAATTAGTCTTTTGCTGTGCAAAATTCCACTTATTATCGTAGCACCCAGTCGATTACGCAATTTGGTTTTGTTCAAGTTAATGTAAAAAAATAATCTTTTCACACTTGCGCTACTGTGTGGCAATGTAAATAAAATTTGAACAAAATTTGCAAGCTCTGAGTATGCAAGACTATCATTCTCTTTTTTGATATTGCTTATGTTTTTCCAGAATTGAATTTTACCAAGCAAAAAATCACATTCAGAAAACTTCAACTACCTAAATCCTTCATCTAAATGTTTAATGTCTTTAACTATATTTGGAAACCTACTAACCAGAGGCCCTATGCTTTCAGTTGGTGGTATACTTGATGGGTGCAGAAAAGTTATTAGTTTGAGAATCTGTACTTCTCGGGAATTAAAGGGGAATCGCTATCATATTTGGCTTACCGCTTCAATATAAAAATCCAGACATTTCAATCTGAAATTATGTTTGACATTAACTACTATATCTGTATTAAATATTTTGCTTTTATGAAACAGCTTAATAAAAATTTAGACGCGTCATTAATCCAGGGGTGAAGGTTATATACCTTGGGGGTTTAAGACTGGAATTCCAGACTCATATCCGTAAAAGTCGGTAATATAAATCGCAAAAAAAGAAGATATAGTTTATTTAATTTATTATTAAGCATGTCATGGATTTCCGCTGCTCCTGAAGCTTCATCGAATGCTTCAATTCTAAAATAATTCTCTATAGCATCATATTGCTCAATAATTCTACTTACAGCGGAAATCAGTGACAGCCACCTGGTGTGTGATGAATTCAATAATTTGTGGGGTTTGATGTTAAAAAATGTTTGAAATTCTTGAAATTCCGAAAATCTTCTAAAACTGCGATGCATATAATTGTATACGCTTCTTACCAACTTTTCTGTAACGTCCGGTAATTTTTCTCAAACAGAAGAGGCACAAAGAGCTAAAGAGTGGCATATACACTTCATGACATATAAATCCGGTATATCGTTAGTTAAGAGAGTTTTAAGCGAATGTTGTGCTCCCATCATAGCATTTGCCCTATCTGCTGCAAATCCTACTAAATTATCTTTGTATGTTAGTTTATTTTCGAAAAAATGACATTGTATAAATTTTGGGCTGAAGCGTCTTTAACTAAAATAAGGCCGAGAAAATGATCCTTTATATTAAGATTTTTATTGTACCGGGCAACAATTTTCGCTTGGCTACTCTCCATTCCAAACAAACAAATAGATTTTATAAGTTAGCTAAGATGATCTGACACATTTATTGCGATATTATGCTTTGCAATAAAAGCTGCAATTTTAATCTCATTTTGTTTTACTATATTATCAGAAGAAATTTGAAATACTTTTTTTGACAAAGTTGGCTGCTTAACCATAATATTTAAATTTTTTATATGCTTTTTTGATTAACCATGTTTTTTAAAGCTCCTATGCCGCCTAAATAATCATAATGGCAAACCTTGCATCATTAGTTTCATAAAAAAGTAGCACAGGTTCGCGAATAACACAAAGTTCTGTATTCAAAAATAACCGAGATAGCCTGCAATTATAAGCAAAATGGAACACCCTGTACTATAAAATATTTAAGCCAATAATACAGCGAATAATAATATGTATTTAATAACTAATTTTTCTATCAAAACCAAATTTATTAGAATAATAATTTCGCCTACCTTTTATTTTTCACTCACTTAAATTCAGTGGTTTGTGAAACGTACACGTAAAACGTATCACTAATGTAGACGTAAATCAATAAAGAAAGTTACAAAATAATGAGTAATGTTCACCAAGAAATGAATATTAAGAATGAAACAAACACCCGTTGAGAAGCCTACACATAAAAATACACTATGTGAATCCCTGAGAAACCTAATGTAAATCCCCGCGCGGAACAGGGTTGACCACTCGTCTAGATTAATTTCTTTGCATTTTGCACAACACGCAAAGTATAATGCGTTGCCAAACTTCTCACTGGAAATTTGCAACAGGTCAATTTAAAATCAAGACAACCTTTGTGCTGTTATGCAAAATGCAAAGAAATTAATGTAGAATCTAGTGATCTGCGGGTTAAAGACTATTTAAATCTTGTCGTCATACAACCTACCCAGAAAAGCCAGAGATACTTAATATAAAATAATTTTTTCTAATATTTTAATTTATTTGATATACTTTTTTGCTTAAAAGGATGCATTTCTACAATTATTCATTGTATTTTTCATTTTTTTTTTGTTTGCTACAAACCTTTCAAAAAATCACTAGAAATATGACATTTAACAAAAGTTTTCACTAATCACTAAACCTGTTCAAAAATCACTAGATCTCGTGAAATTTCACTAGACCTGGCAACATTGCCTATTCCCTACATTCATTTCTCAGAAATATATTGCACACTATCAAAAAATATCTGCTTAGCTCCTAGATATTTGAATTGATGAACTCTTACAAAGTTAATATATAGGTCCGTTGTAACATTTTGGCCTACTCTGTCCTCTATACGAGGTCTTTAAATTAAGTAATAAGACTGGCAACGTAGCGTTCGATCTGGCAACACTGGAGGCATTGGGCCTGGAGGGGAGACAGCAGAATATGTGATCCGCCTTCAGTACAAGTTTTTCAATTCGCTTGATAGCGTTTTTTTGTGAAACAACAATATTGTGAGTGACATCATTTTCGAGTAATTGGTGTGCCATCAGGTTTTGCTTCAGACTTGGGCACAGTTGCAACGGAAACTCTTGCTATCGCAGATGGTGTTTTTCAGTGGCATTTTCACAAGGACAGAAAGTGGATTTGAGATCAACCACAACACGGAAGAACTGATGAAAACACTTGTCAGAATCCAGGATCTTGTCATTAAGATCGGTCGGTTGATAGTCAGAATGATCAAAGAAGAATTGAATTTGACGCAAATCACCGATCATCAGATTTTAAACCAGTAAATTGAGGATGAGAATAACGTGCGCAAAGAATGGCTCAAAAAAAACCTTTCGCAATACCAAAAGGACATCAGGAAGGAAATGTGAATGGACCTTTTGGATTCGATTGAATAATTGACCCCTATTTTCTAGAACGAGTCTGCTGACGAGTCTTGGGTGATTGAGTACGACCCAGAAACCAAGCGCCTTAGCATAGATGCACACTTCAACGTCTCCAAGGCCCAAAAAAGCAATAAAGACAAAGTCGAAGATCAAATGCATGCTAATTTGTTTTTTCGATATCCACGGAATCGTCCTCAGTCAGTACCGACGGGTTCTTGAAAAAAGAGACTTTCATGTGAGACCAAAATCCAATATAACTGGGTTTTGCATCACGATCATGCTCCTTGTCTCACAGCAACGTCAATAAACGAGTTTTTTTCCAGTGAAAAACATTCCTGTGGCTCCTCAGCCTCCTTATTTGCCTGATTTGAGTCCTTGTGACCTTTTCTCTTCCGAAGTTGAAAATTCACTTCAAGGAAATTCATTTTGGGCAGTCGAAAATATCCAAACGGCTATGACCGATCAGCTGAAGGTTCTATCGGAGGTCCAGCACTGCTATGACGAGTGGAAGAACCGTCTGCATCGCTGTGTGGCTTCTGAAGGAATTTATTTTGAAGATGTCAGTATAACACTGTAATTATATTTTAACAAAAAAATTAACAACAGTCTCATTACTTAATTTACAGACCTCGTAATCTATTATTGTTGTTACCGTATATTTAGTCTTGTCTTCATTAATTCGTACTACTAGTTTATAATAAATGTTATTCTGTTTCAGAACAATGGGGAATCTGAAAAAGTTGGCCGACCATCACCTAGTAATTCGGTAATCACAAAGGTGGAGCGTCCCCGTTCCGAATCCGACATGGAGACAGATGATTCGCCGTCGAATGTGATACTGAAAATTCCGTCCTTTAAGCCCACCACGGCGTCCGCTGGAAAGAACGGCTGCGATCAGATCTTCAGGAATATGGCTGAAGCCACTGGTAAGCTTAGAAAAATTAATGAATGGCATGTAGTTTCTGCAGAATAGGACCCTGCGAACTACCACTAAAACTAATAATCCACGTTATCTCTTCAATGGAAAAATCTTTAACAAGGGCCCCGATTTAAGGACCAGAGCTACTCAGGAATAACCGGACCGGTTTTTTTATACTGGTGCAGCCACATAAGCAGAAACCTAAATACCGATGCACCACGACTACTATAAAGAGCTCAAAGACACCTTGTCAATTCGATCTTTGAACTGCCCAAGGTTAGTAGAACTGGGAGAAACCTATATCCTAGGAACCAAAAAGCTGTTATACCTGCCAGTTCTGGATGTACAAAGTTCGAAAAAGGATGGGAGGCAGAAGCCTTGCGGCATCACACCGCCCATCTGCGTGAAAGGGTCTCTATGTCGTCCGTTACCACCTTCTTTTTGCGTGTTAGACCTAATGTGGCCTGTTGGCCGACTTGTACCGCCACTCGGCAATCCGTAGTGAGGTATTCCTTAACGTGTTCACGACGACAATGCACGGAGTAAAACACGACTGTAGCGGATAATTGATTTTTTCGTTTTTGTCATGTAATTTCTATAAAATGTGTAAGTGGGTATTATTTTGAGTTTTGACTACCTTTTTCAATATTTACCACCGGTGGTACACGACGGCTTGATGATTCTTTGTTTCATTATAGCCATAGTGTACCACCGGTGGCCACTGAGAGAAATGCAATAGAGTCAAGCGTGTCTCTAAATTTTGTAAAGATTGTCCAGAGCAACCGAAACTATGTCTTCAATGTTTAAATGAAATTCATAAGTAAAGTTATGTTACCTACCTAAATGTCTGCGAAAGGTTGGGAAATCTCAAAAGAGAGATACTACAGACCAAAATATGTGAATTGACCACATTATCCAAAGCAACTTGATTATTATGTTATGAAAATGTTTTATCATCATCAAATTAGATTTTTGGTCAAGTGTTGTATACAGGGTAGCACAAAAAAGTTATAATAAGTTATTTACCGAAATAGTGCTGTAAGTAGCGCCCTCTAGAAGTTTGGCCATAAATAAAAACGGAATTTGTTTCTCATACTAGAAAACCTTCCTATACCGAGTTTTATGCCCAAATCTGAAATACTTCTCAAGCAATAAGGAAAAATATAAAATAAAATTGTAACTTTGACACCTTGTATCTCCCAAACTATCAACTTTGGAAAGATATGTTTAGGTCAGTTCACATATTTTGG